TTTTTAAATTGATTGAATTTTGCATAAAAAAGAAGATTGCTTAATACCTGCGATCAATGTAGTATCGACATGTTCTTTAATAATTCATTCGAGTATTGCAAACAGTATAACAATGTCAGGTCGCCAACTGCAAGTCATAAATAGGTTTCTATTGTTCCACTGCCCTCCAATTTCAGTCTGTCTTATTCTGAAAAATCGATAATGTCAAACAATACGGCCTGAATTCTATCGCAGGCAATAAATAAACAATCCGTCAAATGCGAGAAAGCTTTGTAGTGTATATTATTTAGCCAAAATTACAACCAATTCAATCAAAATTATTAACAATCGGAGAACAATCAATTTTACAACAAAATCGTAGGACCGGCAAGCTGATCAAACACAACAGTAATAATAATAATATAACAATAATAATAATAATAGTGTACAGTAGCGGAAGTGAGTCCAAACTGAAGTTCCAAATGAACAAACTGTTTAATTAGTTTTCATGTTCGCTGGTTGCAGAATGAAGCGCAATCCAAATTAAATTATTACGTTAACTGGGGACCTACTGATTATTAGAATCCATGGCAAATTGGAAATCTGGTTGCAAACACTTTATCATCATCGTAACTTCACGTTTATGTGTTCATATTATGTCGAATGCGAGATGCTTAGTGCGTGTACAACGTTATTATTGGACTTGCTTTACGATCACGTTTCTAGTTTATTATGATGCCGACTTTTCAACGCGTTTCCACCAGACTAATTGATTTTAAACACAATGTAACTGTTGTTACTCCGACAAAAAGAGAAAAAAAAAACAATAAAAGCTCAAAGCGGTTTTTCATAAACACTTAATAAAGAAAATATACCATTTAAGTTAAAATGATATAATACCTTTTCCAAAAACACATTAATGTCGACTCGCCCAAGACGATAATAAAGAAGCATAAACAGTGTTTTCAAAAGAATTAAATGTTTTAGTTTTTCATTAAACAGGGGTGTCTCAGAACTCGAGCTCCAAAAAAAAAAAATTTCAAATAAGATAAGATACCAGGAACATAGAAAAAATGTTTAAAAATTCTATCTGTCAAAAAATATTGACTTTTATATTCTGCCATTTGACATTTTTTTATGTCTATTTAATGTTAATAATGATCTTGTATATGTTTTTTTTATAATTACTTAGTAAGGATATAAAAATCTTGCCAATAAAAGCCACAAATAACGTTAAACATTGATTACAATTTAGCTTCCTTGTTTCCTCTTCTAATAGCCTGGAGCAAAAAAAAACATGGAAAATTATTTTTCCAACACAAATAAATAGAGTCAAGGTGCAAAATTTAAACTCCCATAACTTCGAAATTTTTATAGACATTTTTTCCATTTTCCTGGTACTCGTATCTTACATTACATGGCATTTTTCTTTGTGGCGCGTGTTCTGAAACAGCCTGTACATGGGCTAAAATAAGGCAGCTTAGTGCAATTTTACTTTACAGCACCAAAAACTTATACGAGTATTTCAAWTTTTTTTACATTTATGTATTGTTTAATATCTCCGTTACTTTTAAACCATAAAAATTTGCTAAAATTTATAAACTAGATAATTTATGTTCTGAAAGTTTTTACGAAAACTTTGAAGATGTACGATAAGAAAAATTGACAGTGTAGCATATTTATGTAGGAGATAAGTCGAAAGTTTTAATAGAAACGCAAGCAGCCATGAGACGCATAGCTTAAAGTTTGACATTATTTTCTCGATTTTTAGACGATATTCTATTATAAATGTACTTTAGATATGCAAATCAAATAGAAATTTAATAATTTTATCGCAAGACGTTATTTAAGTTATTTACTTTTCATCCAGGATTCGATTTAAATTTAAATTGATACAGCTTTTTGTAAAAGACAAAGAAACTAGTTATTAGCATCAGCGAAACACAAAAAGTTTTAAATTTGGCGAAAAGTAATAGGTTTAGGAAAAAATTATCAACTTTTAATCTAACCCTCGTCATAATTACTCTCCGCATGTGAGACTTTTATTTCATTTTTGAGATAAAATAATCCACTTTGAGAACGAGCTCTTGAATTGTGAAATTTTATAGCATCGAATGCGGTTAAGCTTTATGTTTGTCTGAAACTGTCTGAAAAACTTTCCAGCTTAAATTTTATATAACGTCGGTGAGAACGTCGTACCTTTTTCAACAATTTAGTTTTCTCTCGACAACATACTGAACAAAATGTCACATTCTGTGGCTTCAAATGAGAACTCGTTCAAGTAATAACTGCATTCAAGCGCAAGCCAACGTAATGAGTATTTCACTTCGAGCTAAAACGAGAAATCCAAATTGCAACCGCAGATAAAATGTTGCGCCACCAAAAATTACAAAAAATGGCATCATTTAAATATACACAAATGTCAATTAAAGCGGCTTTCCGCCTGTCTTTGACTAAATCTTCCGATATTATTTACATTTAATTTGCTTAAGATGGCTTCCTTTGAAATGTACGATTAGAATTTTAAATTTTTTCAGCGTGGAGGAAGTAATTTATTCGAAAWGGTTGTTCGACAAACTTAACAGCGAACAAAATTAAATCGAAGTTTCTGCGAGAACTCTTCATTTAAACTAAAAAAAGCATAAATATTTCGACAAACCTCACCTCATTAAAAATTATAAAAAGGAACTGTTTCTTTAAAGAGGCGTAGAGTTTGAGGTGAAAACACTTAAGGAACTCTGCATAATGCACGTTTGGTGGATGCAACGGGCAAGAGTTGGTTTTAATTTAAAATGTATGCAAAGATAAAGCTCAAAAAAACAAACTATTTAAACAAATTTCAGTGGAAAAAATACATTTACCTTGTTCCACTCCTGACTTGGCGCCCATATACTTTAATAAATTGTTGATAATATCCTAAAATTAATTGCGTTTTTGTGTAAAAATCACTCAAAATTCAGTCTAAACACATAAATATTTTTGCARAAACTGACCACAAAACTAAAAGTTCTGATTCCATGTTCGGTTCTACCTGAAATAATGGAACGCAATTTGTTTGTTACTGATAAATAGCCTGGGCTTGTAAAAGTCACCACCACCAACCCCATTCGCAAGTAAACTCTGAATTTGTAAAATATGCCATATGGCATTTTCAAAACAATCTTCTCCTTTATTGTTAACTAACATGCACCAATATTTTCTTGCCAATGTAGATCAATATACCTACTTATAATTTTCTCAAAATCACGCTTTTCATTACATAAAAAAATATTATTAAAAAAAATTAGAACGTATCTAATTGCCTAAATTAGTGTTATATCGCATTATCGCATTTTACAAAAAAATGCAGAGTATAARAATAATTGATTTTATTATATAAACTTTAAGAAAATTTTAAACTTAAAAAAATGGTTGAAAAAAATATAAAGTAGATAGTGGTAATCCTTAGATCATAACCTTTATGAGAAAAATAGTTTTATAATGGGTTGCCATTTTAAAAAAATTAAAAAAATTTTAGAACTCTAAAACAAAAAAATCGAAAAATTCTATTCTTGATAAAACATCACATTTGCCTCCAGAAA